AAAAAAACCACACACCCCTGCAACGCACACATCACACATACACGACTCTCTTCCTCTCTCTCGCTCGCTTCCTCTCTCGCGCTTCCTCTCCCCCTTCCGCGCCCTGCTCTTCCTCTCGAGCGCTCGCTCTCACTCTCTCTCTCTCTCTCTCTCGCTCGCGCGCTCTCTCGTCTCATTCTCATCGGCATTTTACCTCCCCATCCTCTCCACCCCCACCCTCCCCCCCGACCGTCCGCCCGCTCACATCCTCCACACTCCCTCACCTGAGAAAACCCCCCCCCGCCTTCCCCGGACCGCACGCCACGCGCCGCCTCCCCTCCTTGCAGTATAACCCGAGACCACTCCATCCCGACGGCCTCCCCGCCCTCCCCCCGCCACTACTCTACCCAATTAAGCGTCGCAGAATGACCAGACCCCCCCACCACAACTAGCACACAGCCTCTCCTCCTTGCCCAACGCCGGGACCGTCCGCCACCCCACAGAAGATGCACGGGTAGGTCATAACCCCCCGAAGTGCATTAGCGTACATAGCCGGGACCAACATCAATAAACACCAACAGCCCAACAAAATGCGGCCGAATAATGTCTAGAGAAATAAAGTCCCGCGCAGCTCCGGTTCCCCTTGGAAGTAGGCACAGAATTCCGGCAATTAGCACACACGCACGCGATCACCGGCAAGAACGAAAGATCGATTGCGAAACAATCACTCACTCAAAGCACTGCTCTCAATAACTAACTTGAAGCAGTCTCCTGCCCCCTCACGCGGACTCTCTCACGCACTCACTCACTCAATCACTCACTTACTCACTCATCCCCCTCACGCACTCCCTCACTCATTCACAAACTCACTACACGTCACTCACTCTCCCTCTTCTCCATCGACCGCTCCCTCTCCATAAACCCCTGCTCCACGTTGACCTCTCGAACTTACCACAACATGCCTGTTCCCACCCGGCGACAGGAGACACCCAAACGCCAGCGTGCGCCTTCAAGTCCTCGACGTCGCCAGTTCATCGAAAGCATCACAAAAAAGACATCCCCGGAGAAGAATCGCCCGGGAACCTTATGAATAAGGAATCGATCCTAGTCGTGCCGAAACCCTCGTAGGCACCTAAGCACTTCTCCTCGTCACTCGATACCCACGTTCAAATTCCGTCCTTGCAACATAATCACGCTCTCTCCAGTTGAAATTTTTTATCCTTTTTTTATATTAACCTCGCATTTGATGCTTTATTTTATTCTTCCTGTTTGGGATTTTTCTATACATCCACATAAATTCCTTTTCCCGGTCCGAGGTACGTAAAGATAGAGCTAGTCCTCAGGACCAGAGTCTCAGACGAACACAGTTCATACACAATTCAGTGTTCATAAAAACGCTTTTACGTAACACGCATTTTCGTATAAATGTACATCAACATGTGCCCTGCATGTCTACCGAGGTCTGCGTGAAGAGAGAAACACGATCTGTTTCTGGAAGCGCAATGTTTATTTTCAGCGCCAGGCGTCTTCTGAAAGGATTTCATTACAGGCGCCAGTACCATGTGTTCGGAAAAGTACAGTTCGAGTACCGTCTTCAGGGGAGTGTGATGTTGGAGGAAATTGGATGATTTTTTTATTACGATACTTCTGTTTCCCTTCCGATAGTGTGGATTCCATCACTCTGCGTTTCTTTTATTTCCATTGCGAGTCCTTATTTTATCCCCGATATCATGTCGCAAGCAATTCCTTTAACTGCATTCTTCCTGAGACTTCGAGAAAGAAGAAAGAGAGAGCAGCGAGGCCACCGCGGTGTCGTTAGTGTGCGTGGCGCGGCGGCGGGGAAGCCTCCTTCCTCCGTGTCATCGTTCCTTTATATAAATGTCGCGGGACTCCCATATCAACACATCACAGTCCTTGAAGCCCACACAAAGGAAGAATACCTCGCCTCTGTATGCCTCCCCGCGCCTCCAACTCGGCGCTCCCTACGCACTCCCACTCGTACTCTAAGGAATGTTCTCACTCGCTCGCACTCATGTGGCATCCGCATATGCTTGGCTGCGCACATACCTCCAGTCACTCGATCTTGTATACAGTTGCATTACCTTTAACTCTTCCTCACTCTCACTCACCCAAACGCACTCACAGAGACCCGCGCCTCCTCACGACGTGCTTCGAGAGGGTCCATCTCCCTCCCACGCCCCATTACCCCTTCCTCATAATCCTCACACAACGAGCGTCTCAATACACGCGCTCGCCCGCTATTACGGCCTTCCCCTCCGTATCCTCGCCTCCTTCAGGAAAACGAGGGGAGGAATGTACACTCCGGTAGTGGCGTCCTTACGCAGGATACGGGGAAACGCCTCTCGTCTCTCGCCCTTCCGGTCCTGCTCCGCACTCCCTCTCTCCCTCCTCCTTTATTCCCTCTTCTCCTTCCTTCCTCTTTTCTCCTTCGTTCCTCTTTTCTTCTTTTATATCTCTCTTTCTCGCTATTTTCTCCACACTTCCCATCCTATTTTTCATTTCCTTTGTCGACCAGCCAAATTTCCTTTTCATCCTGTCATTCCTTTCCCTCGAGCCCTCCTCCCTCCTCCGACTCTTTTGTCCCTTCCCACCTCTCTCCTTCCTCAACCCCACCCGCCCTTTCCTCCTTCTTCCCTTCTCCCCCTTTCCCCTTCTCCCCACCCCCCCGCCCCCAAGACGCTGTGCTGCCTTGGCATATCGGACTCCTGACCGCCTCCGTCTCCACTTCCGGGACG